AAACCAGTCATAAGTAGCACGGGTATATTTGTAGCAATAGCCAACAATTGTATCCATTTTTCTTTTATGCCAAAAATCATTAGGATGTTACGATCATGTTCCATGAGGATATTTTGTAAATTTCCTACCATAAACATATCAAAACTTCATTTTTGATTAGTAATATGCATTGCTAAGAACTTCATATGGACAACTTTAACATTTGGCGATTTTCTCAATATTTTGATGTTTTTTGTTTTTTTTTGCACCCTTAAATTCCAGATGTTCAAATAGTTGCATCTCGGGCCAAATATTGTCCTCTCCTAACAAACCATACATCAATGGAAAGCTTATTTATTCAGCTTTCAGACGAAAAATGTACCCTTATGACTTCTTTTGTGGTCCAGGGTCGCATATTTTTTTTTTGTTTATGACTAATTTCTTAGATGTGACTTTAGGGTCCTTTGGAAGTCTGTGACCCGTTGTCTGCAAAATGCTGCCCTGATAGCACACGTACATCACGGAGACGTCTATTTGACGTCTGCATCTTGAAGACGCTTTTTTAGAGTTTGTTCATCTGCAATACGGCTATAGGACGTTTCCTATCAGGTGTCAATTAGATGTCTATTAGATGTCTTTAAGATGTTTATGGGTTAGAATTAGGGCTGCACGATAAATCGCATGCGATATTTAATGCGCATTTTATCAGTAAAGCCGGTTCTGTAATCGGCGGTAAATCGTATGTAAAACTGATCTTACAGACATCTGGCAGATATTTGTACACAGCAGATGCTTTCCAGATGAAGCGATGTTTAACATGTAAGTGTACTATCTGGGTGCCTGTGTTTTTTTGACTGACAGGGAAGCAGTCATTGTGTAGCTGCTGTAGTAAAATGACATGGTCTTTTTGTTCATACAGAGAAATGAGCTCATTATTATGTTGTTAGTTGTTATTCTCTGTCATTCCATTATTATTTCACATAGGTCATCACTGGATTAATTTGTAGACTGTAATTCTTGCAGCTCATGAGTGATTGTGAAATGAGACGGGCCTGCTTTTGAATTTTTGCGGGAGTCTCTGTCCCCACCTAAACGGCCAAGCGAGTTACAACCTAAAGAGGAATGAGGGGAATGCAGATGGTTTCCTCCGGCCGAGCTGCAGATAAACACGCCTCTGTCTCTCATCAAACGGAGTTTGCTTGAGAATGACACATCTTGTCCGCACAGAATGAGAGATAGGACGCTGTTGGTATTTGTGTAAATGAGGAAGTGCTAGGGGTCAGTCAGCAACAAAAAATGTTGTTGTGGCTACAGGCCTGTTATCATTTTTCTGTGACAAGACAAGATTCTAGTCTGAACTTTCCTGTATTTTTTTTGTTTGTTGTTGTTGTTGGAGCTTGAGGAACTTCCTGTCACATTTAGGTCCTTTTTGACATATTTGAAGATTACATTTAGGTCCTTTTTGACATTTTTGAAGATTATATGTCTCTCTTTACCAGCTCCTTCTGTTCACTGATAACAGTCAGCTTGACCTACATTGCTTTGAGGATAGTTCAAGTAGTTTAACAGAACAAGCAGAGTTATTGGTTGGGTGCAGAAGCTCTGTTAAGTTTTCACATATATGCCCTTTTCAGGAAAATGATCTCTTATTTACAGTTTAGTGATCATTTGTGAACAGGACCTGTTTGAAAATACTAGTAAATCAGGCTGAGAAAACATCACCTGCAAATTACTGTTAATAGTAATAAAAAACCCAAACACATAAGATTACCATTATAAGGCAAGGCGTGGATACGCAGATGTAGGATGTCTGCTCTGGACCATTCAAACATGTTCCGTAGGTGATAATATGATTACCCTGCACTGTTTACAATGGCTGTGAACCGGAAGAAAAATGTTGTCAAATTGGACAGATAGTGAAAATAAAGTGCTTCTCCTCGTCTGGGCAGAAGAAGAAAACGGGTAATTTCTGATATTTGAATTCACAGAGTCTACCATGTAAAGCTGGTGTTAGAAGTGCAGAGGACATCAATTCTTGCATGAGCTTCACAAGGTGCTTCACAGCACGCTTACGTGACGCCTCACAGTGTGCATGTGTTAATGTTAAATGTAAACGCAACCCACTTGTGAACATGTATATGACAGTTACCCAGAAGTGATGGTTTATTTAAAAAAAAAGTTTATTAGTATTAGGTAGGCCTAGTTTAAAAAAATTTTTTTTTTACTTCAGAAGACATTGATTCATCCACTGGGGTCGTATGGATTATTATTGTAATGGCTGTATTAAAGGAACACTCCAATATTTTTGAAAATAGGCTCATTTTCCAACTCCCCTAGAGTTAAACCGT